GCATTTGATAGTTTAAAATAAACAAAATTAGCACTTTTCCGGGTAGAAATTGTCACATTCAGCTGGTTTCGCCATATGTTTTCTCCATGTAATTTTGGAAACTTACGGGCGGGGGTTGTTTCCTGTTGCAATGTATTTTATCATTTCAAGTTTGTTTAATCATACGGTCCACCCTCACTGCAGGGATAGCGTTTATCTTTATTCAAAGCTCGCGTTTTTCACTAAATTCTCACGATTCATTCTCACTGGCGTTCTGAATACCATGCTGCACTACTACGTGTTTTGATTTGTAAATCGTTCTTTTTACTTCTACACATATACACGGTAAGTAATTGTATGTTTAGGATAAAACCATCCAGGCGACGGCATTTAAATGTCATCGCTGGTGATGGTGGACCAACTCTGAAGAGTTCAGTGAATTGTTTCCGCTAGCCAGTATCATTTTTCAGGAACAAAGGTCGTTCTAGAACCCTTGCGTCCCAATTGCCGTTACACCAACAGTATGCAATTGAGCAGTGTCACTTTAAGGAGTTGTGAATCGATTTAACAATTGAATTTGATGCTTGTTTGATAATACTGGTTCATGACATTTTTTGGAAAAGCAAGAAATCTGGATTGATATATTTTCATTTTTCAAATAGTTCAAGTTCCTGTATTTTACCTCCATGACAAACGTTCGAGTGCCCAATACAGGGATAGACTCCAAACCGCGTAGTGGGTATTTACCCAGTAGCAATTTCTTTCCTTTTGTACTTTTGCGCTATATTCGTTTCATTTTTGAATGAGTCTATTTTTATAACTAAATTCGTTTACACCTAAACACTTTTAATCTGCGTATTCCATTTTTAAGTTTAGGACACTAAAATGCATACCCTATACTGCATACTAGTTTATTAGACGGCAATAACATTGAATACATACTAATTATATTTGTTTTGGTATTTTTACGTACTAATATTCAGTTTATCCTTACGTTTGACATTATCTATACAAAATAGTTAATTTCCGAAGTAGTATTTGTTGGAATCCGAATAGTTCGTATTAATGACCCTGGCTCACCACATTGCATGAATAAAACTATTTACAAGTTAAATGTTTTGAAGAGAAGACACAAATCCACTAAATCTTTAATAATAATATTAGACTCCATGAAGTGTAGCCTACTTAGTAACTACTGGAGTGTTTAATTGTTAAACGAGAAATTTCACGCTCTGACACGTCATGTCGTGACGCTCATCCAACCGAATAGCCACCAGAACAATGTACATATACTGAATAGAGTGAGCCAATTCCACCGAATAATGCCGTTCTAAATACCGTCGTCCGATACATGTCTTCGCTATTGTTGTATGAATTGTTTTCTGAATATTGTTGTTATTTTATTGGAATAATAATGCAACGGTGACAACAGTTTCTTTACATGTCAAATAAATTTAAACATCGCAATCCATGTTCATTTTTTATGTTATGCAGAATTACAACACCAGAGTCGTGCTTTGGCTAACATGTTGGCCTCAGTTTGCCAGTATTTGTGAATCTTCATTTTCAAACCAAAATTAGAAAACAATACGTCTCATTTTCAGTACAGTAAAACTACTGTATTCTCAGTCTTAAGCGTAATCTGTTTTTCTTTGTTTTATTTTTAGTAACAATATCGTTGACTAGGTTCTATACAAGCGTGGCTTTTTTACAATTCAGAAATATACAATCTAAAGAATCTACTTCATTGTAAGTTTCACAACGCATTATGTTCTGTTATTTCTCCATATATATAAGTACTTATAATGATAACATGTGATATCCTATAGTACGAGTTCAATTCGTTTCAATTCTCCTGTTATTGATTCAGAAATATTTTCCTGTGCCAGTCGGGGCGTGTTTTTAATGTGATACACCATTCCATCCCTGAATATGAAAGACTTGCTTCACTAATTTCATTTAAATTTGTATACACTAATTTGCTTTTTATATTTGTTACAGAAATTAGATCATTGTTATACTTTACAAATACAGGTGAGTTTCTTTTCTCCACATATAACATGGTAAAAAGTAAATGAGCATACACTAAGTTTAGCTGATTAGTACATTATGGTGTTTTGTTTTTTTCTAAAACATCAGAACTTTATCGTAAAGACGTGAACTGTATCACAGACAAGGTTGGCCGCTTCTCTATTCAAGCGTCTTATCTTAACCTTAATGCATCATCCTGTGATGTGACGTCGGTGTATTTCACACCTCCTACTCCGTAATCATGTTTAGCTAACTGGGCAAGTTTTTTCGCGATTTTCAGATAAAATGAAATAATAACTTTTCGACTCTAGTTATGGCCTGTCCGAAAAATAGTCAAAAATTTAGCTTTAAATGTACAAGGTAGTTTTCAGTTTCGTGAGTTTACATTTTGCAATTGAATGTTTCAGATTTGTGTTCATTGTTATTGTGATGGACCCCAGTGATTTAATGGAGTCAAATGTTGGTTGTATGGATTGTTTTTTTAAAAAAATTGTATATGTTATGCTTAAACACATTTTTTTTTTTAATTTCAGAAATGGCTATTGGAGAAACAAAGGGAGACCGTTCTAGTCTTATAAACGGCGTCAAAGATGTGGAGAAACTTTCTAACAACGTATCGTCACCCAGTGGCCAGTCACAGGGTGAGTGTTGGCACTCTACGAAACGTTTAATGGAAACAGGTTACGGCGTGGGTCTGGGACTTATGTCGGGTTTGTCATTCGCTACTTGTTCGATATTCATTCATCTTATTGGTCACGATGTGCCGGCGTTACAGATTAATTTCATCACAGTGGTTTCCATCGGATGTGTCATTATACCTCCTCTGCTGATGTACCGAGTAAGTCTAAAACTAGAGAGCCTTAAAGATGGCGGGCTAGTTTTCGGCAAAGGCGTTGGATACACGATAGGGATAATGGGCGATGTGGTTGCCTTGACGCTAATCTCCACGGGCAACGTAACCGCCATCACCAATGGTCTTCTTCCGGTCTTCACTGCCATTTTTGGTTGTATATTTCTGCGTGAGATGTTGCGATTGGTGGATGTCATTACAATTGTACTCAACGTCACTGGAGTTGTACTGATTACGCAACCGACGTTTCTGTTCGGTGACGACGATGATGATGAGTACGATGAAGATGATAAACTCCTTGGAAACATCATGGCAGTTGCCAGCGCAGTCGGTTTTGCATCTGCCTACGTGGTTCAGAGAGGTTTGGGCGAACGCCTTCACGTTTTGTCGTCATTATTCTACGACGCAATAATTGCATCACTGATATCAGTCGTTATGATGTTCTCAGTTGACGAGGAGCCAGAATGGGACATGGAAGGAGACACAATAGGTCAATTCTGTGGCGTGGCATTCTCTACAGCTCTGGCGCAGTGGTGTTCATATCGATGCTTGCAGTTGGAACCTGCCGCTACTGCGGCTCTCCTGTTCAACGTAGAGGTCGTGGCGGCTTACTCTTTGGAGTACCTGGTGGTGGATCGTGTGCCCAGTGCCTGGGAAGTGACTGGTGCCGGCTTGGTTTTATTCAGTTCGGGACTGGTGGCGGTAATCACGTGGAGGTTACACATGAAGAAACGGAGAGAAGATGAAGCGTCTGGGTACCTAGAACTGGAATAAATCCTTGTTTATATATCAGAAAATAAGAAAATAATAAAGCTCAAAACTGAGTGAAGAAAAAAAATGGAATATAGTTTGTTTTCCACTGTCTACCAGGAGGGGTCCCAGGGTTTCTAATAGTCAACGATGTTAGTGAGGATGTGATAGACATTGAATAAAGATAAATACAGACAATGTATGTTCTATGTATTAATTAATGTAGACATTTAGGTTAATCCCAGCACTGAGTTGATAAATCTCAGAAATATTAAGGGTATTTTTAGAAACAGTTGAAACTGGATCTGTGAGACAATACATGCCAGAAATTATTATTAGAGCATTAAACGTCTTGGACAACCCCTCAGGTCAGAGTGGGAGTTATCCGCAAAGCCAGACTGAGTGTTTTCAGGTTTCAATTTCTGACCCAAAAATGTAGAATAGCATTTCCGATGGCGCATGGATTTTCTTATCAATCGCTAATTATTTTTCCATCAGTTTTTAGCGATGTCAATCTCATTTAATGTCGGCAGGCGATAATTAGGGGTCCGTGTGTGGTACATGAGTCGATAATGTGTTATTACAGCATCAGCGATTGGCTGATACTGTAACAGCATCAGCGATTTGCTGAAAGTCAGCTAACTACGGGTGCGGGCCGTATTTTGTTGCATTACCCATAGTCCTTCGCCCTAAGACCCCTCGTCACTTTTCCGAGATTGAAGTTCTTTTCTGAAAACGGGCACAGCAGTCCGAAAAATCATAAATTGTCGTGTGAATGGTTAATATGGTTAACAAAAAGTCGCAGAGTTTCCTTTATACCCAGCTACTACTTTTGAATACAGTAAACAGTTTAGATATTACGGTACCAGTAAAGCAATTGGTAGTAGTCAACACAGTTTAGGCTCTTGTGTCGGGTCCGTGATAGTGCCCGACGCTTACCAAACATATTTAATTTTCTCCGCATGCTGGCAGCATTTCATATTCTACTGAAAGACAAGCAGGGCCAGCAAGAGAGAAATCACATGTGTTTGCCTTGTCGCTACAGACAGCTGAAACGAAATATATACATGCATCAACCGCCTAGCTTCAGCGTTTTTTAGAATAATTTAATTTGTCAATCAAACATAAAAATCAGTACGTCTGCCTTCTTAATAGGGTGGTTGTTGCCGCGTCATGCAAGCACCAGATATAGACACGGCCGAGATATTCGATGGAATGTTTCACACTACAATGATCACACATCGACTGAAGCAACTTTGATTGTTACTATCAGAGTATATATCACCAAGGTTTAACCAGTTAAATTTATTTGAACAACATATATTCCTTAACCGCCTAGACCAAGCCTGGCTTTTACCGTTATCGCCATAAAGGTTTGCGAGTTAGTAGCACGCGATGGGTTATGGGAATAATAGTTTGCTTATTAACACAAGTCTCGCATTTGTGTCGCGCGATAACCGTGACTGCTGCCTAAATGCACGTCGTTCAATTTTGAAGTAGAAATTCCATCAACCGATTGACTTGATGCATGGAGCCGAGAACAGCCACTGGTGGCGCTTGATACAATCGAAACTCATTTAGGCTTGCCTACGCTCATGCAGACTACATTGTAAAGACAGGAAACACTTGTTAAATTTGGTGACCAGCTGACCATGATAGAAAGCGTGTACAGTCTACAAATTACCGCAATAGATATATATGTAGCGGGGTCAAGACCGAATATACGTGATTCCGGTGTTTCATAATAAACGCTTTGTATAACTAATTGCAATTTTACAATTAATAATCACGAGATGTGTCTACGTCATAAACTCATTAATAGTTATTAGCGTATTGTGTGCGCAGCCTGAGTGCGCATGCTTCGGTCCCTTTTCCGTATTCCACAACCAACACGTCATTACAGTGAGGTTTGATTGACAAACCTCGCCGTCACTAAGGTTTCGTTGTCAACTTGAATCAAACCTCGAGCTCATTGGTGGTGCCCACACATATGCGACGCTACCAGACATATACACTAGATAACACGTTTGGATTATTCGAAAGTATGAAATTGTGCATGTTGTGTTTGGAAAATTATTTATAAACAATCAGCTCCAGGCAGCTCGACCCGGCCGATGTAGGTTTTCTAGCACATAATATGACGGATGATATACTTGCTATTGCAAATAATGGAAACATTTAACTTTGTCCAATATACGCCCTTTGTCGCAAAAGTAACACGTTTTCCTGGTCGTAGAATCTAAGACTCGAATAAAATATCCAATAAATTTGATTCATGCAGTATCGGCCACTCCCTTGTATCTGCTCTAATAATAGTATGTTCAACAGTACCATTATTACCGCTGAGTACACGGCGCAATAACTCGCCAGTAATAATTTACCATAAAATATTCCATATTTCTAACTTATATTTAATACACACTGTACAAATCGTGGGCAAAGAGCGGCTTCTAAGTTGTGAGAAAATGTTGTACGCGCACTTCTGGCTTAACACCGAAACTCGGAGTAGTATATTCGGATTCATGTAGTCGGCCGTCACGTTGAACTGTGAATCAACATGGGGGTTGTTATTTCGTCGACTGAATCGACCGACATTAATGAGTCCGTGAGGAACGTTAGCCAGCCACAATTAATTAATTGAGATTAGATTGACACCAATTCGTTCTCAAGTGGTGTGAATGAGGGGTGGGTCAGTTGCACTCATTCGAGTCATGATACAGCGATTTGTTTATTAAGCTGGTTGTATTCGATGCCATAAAATACACTAACGAGTCGGAAAATTGCATTTGTAAATTGTGAAATGTTCCTTCAGTTTGTTGGCAAATTCTGATATATTGATGTAACGTAGTTCGTTTATTGACGAATGTTGGTTTCTCGGGTTATTACATATTGCCATAACAACGCACAATAGGCGACAAGCACTGCTTGAAAATGTCAGTTGTTAGTTAAGTCACATGGTTTTCTCGTGATCGCCAACACTGATAGTGAACGCACTAGCATCGACAATACAACGTATTCCGTTAAATGTGAGACCGGACATTTTCAGTTCTACTGGTAAATGAGCCTATTTTTTAATTCACGTGCACGG